TTTGTTTAGGATACTTAATATTTTATTGCTTTATAGAGTTATAGTTATATTAGGACTAGATCTAGTTGATGCCTATATAAAGGCCCTTCCTCTTGTTAATTTAATCATTCAAAAATTAATACAAAAATCTGAACTTTTGTTCAAACTCCTTGCTTTAGTTTTCTTCTTGAATTCTTTTGCAACTTTATTCGTTGGAAAGGCTGCGAGTGTGCGACTTCTTAACACCTATCGAACGATTTAAGGCGCGGGAGCGGCTTGTAGGCAATCGAGACACACGGTCTTCATCATTGGTGCTTTCATTGAGAGAGTCGATCGTGTGTCTTTTCTTTCCCATTCTCTTTTAATTTTTCTTTCGTAATTTTTGTTCGTTCAAAAAAAAAAAATATTCAAAATTAGTCCGGGAAGTCAAGAACGTAGGAAAGCCAGAAAAGATATGGCCAACCGTGAGTTGAAAGAAAAGGTTGAAGGATTGGAAGGCCAATTCAAGGCCATCAGCGAGAGCATGGAGGATCGGTTTGGATCGCTCGACGAAGGTCAGGTCAGCACCAAAGCTGCCGTAGCTCGCCTCGAGCAGCGCCTGGAGGAGGTGTTGCACGGGTTCCAGCAACAGCAGCAGCCGGAGCCTCCAAGGGTGAACGCACGCGAGCGCCTAAGGCAACAGGAGCAGCAACGGGCTGAGCACAACCTCGACGAGGAAGAAGAGTACGAGCAGCAGTCGCAGGCGTCGAACGTTCATGAGCGACCACGCGTCGAAAAGCCGAGGATCGTGCTCTCAACATTCACGGGAACCAACCCCGACGCTTGGCTGAACAGGGCGGTGCAATTTTTCGATTTAAATGAGATGCCGCAACGTGACTGGGTTTGTTATGCCGCGTACTATTTAGATGGCGAGGCCAACGTGTGGTGGCAGTGGCTCACACGCGTGTATCGCGAGCGGCAACAACCAATCCATTGGGAAGATTTTGAACGCGAGCTCCTTGCGCGTTTCGGGAACTCAGACTATCATAACCACGACGAGGCGCTTACTCAGATCCGGCAGACAGGTAGTGTACGTGACTACCAAAAAGAGTTCGAGAGGTTGGCGTGCCGGGTTCGCGGGTGGCCGGAAAGCGCACTTGTTGGCGCGTTTGTTGGAGGGCTTAGATATGATCTCGCGGCTGAAGTGCGATTGGATAGACAGGAGACCATGCATAAGGCCATGGAAGTTGCTAGGAGACGGGAGGATCACTTGGCCGCAACTCGAAGGGGACGGGTGGACTTTCGAGTCCTGGAGCTGCGACGTGTGTCGGCGACCGTGGGCGCACCTAGTGCGAACGCGAGGCCACCGGGCGCCTTTAGGCCACCGGCAACCGAGGTTAAGAGGTTGACGGAGGAGGAGATGGCACAGAGACGTGAGAAGGGGCTGTGTTTTCGGTGCGAGGAAAATTACACACCGGGACATCGATGCAAGCAGAATTACTTGATCGAGTTTGTGGACTCGGATGACAAGGAGCCGGTGATCGAGGAAGAACGAGAAGTGGAGGTCGAGGTGCTCGATGATGAGGCCGAGATCTCTTTACACGCCATGGCGGGCACCAAGGGTCCGAGGACGATGTGTTTGCCGGCGTGGGTGAAGGATCAGCGAGTGACTGTGCTCGTGGACAATGGGTCGTCGCACAACTTCATTAATGCGACGCTATCTCACAAGCTTAAACTACCCACGTCCATGGTCGAGCCATTCGAAGTGCGGGTGGCTAATGGAGAGAGACTGTGGTGCTCGAAGGTGTACCAGGGCGTGCCAATCAAATTTCAAGAGTAACGGTAAAGGCGGACCTGTTTGCCTTACCATTGGTAGGACCTGATGTGGTGCTTGGTGTGCAATGGCTCGAAGGGCTCGGTGACGTAACGACCAACTATCGGAAGGGCGTGATGAAGTTCGAGACCGATGATAAGTTGGTTACCTTGAAAGCGAGCGAAGGATCGA